TCTGGGCCTTGGGGACTGAACTCATGTTGTCAGGCTTGGCTGCAAGCACCTTTACCCACTGAGCCATCTCGTCAGCCGTTTATAAATGCTATCCCCCACCCACCCACACCCACACCCAACACGTTAAAAACTCCATTGTATTAAGAAACAGTTTATGGCTTACCCTTTCCTGTTGAGAGTTTCCTATGCTGGTTGACAAAGCAGAGCCATCATAAGTTAAGTGAGTTCTTTATGTTCAAAGAAAAGCAAGCTGGTGGAAGCTCTCTTACAGTATTGTGTGAAGATATGAAAGCAAAGTGTACATTTAAAGCTGGGCTTGGTGAGCCACACCTTAAATCCCAGTACTTGGGAGGGAGAGGAAATTGGATCTCTGTAAGTTCAAGTCCAGCCTGGTCTAGAAAGTGAGTCCCAGCACAGCCAGGACTGATATACAGAGAAACCCCATCATGAAAAATACACACACACACACACACACATATATATATACACATATACATATATATATGCATATACATATATATACACACATATATACACATATATATACACATACATATATGTACACACACATACACATATACATGCATACACACATACATATGTACATACACACACATGTACATACATATACACATAAACATATATACACACATATATTCATTCATACATACATACACATATATACATGCACACATACATATATACATACACACATAAATATATACACGTATATACATACACACATATATTCATACGTACATACACACATGTATACATATACACATACATACACACATGTATACATACATACACACACACATATATACATACATACACTTAACAGGGTATGATGTGGAGAGGCCTATGGAAGGACTGCTGTAGGGGGCAGAGGCTCTGGAAAGCCTGAGCTGGGGGAAACAAGACTTGGGGGATATGGTTGGCATGGAACATACAGAGGCCTACGGATAAGGTGAAGGGTGGGGTGTTTAGGAAGAGGGAGGACTAGCTCCTGTGAAGCAGCCAGCAGCGCCCTGCCCTCTGCCCACAGCCCTCATCTTTGATGGCAGCACCAACCCAGCCCACCCCAAGCACATCGGCAGCATCGACCCCAACTGCAGCGTGTCTGATGTGGTAAAAGGTGAGTCCCCACCACCACAGGCCGGGCCCATAAAGGAGCTCCCGGGACCCCTCCCAGATAACCAGGTCAGAGGGTGATCCATTCCCAGTGGGTGTGGGGCCAATGTCAGTGCCAAAGGGACTGCTGCTGGGTTAGCCACCCATAACCTGAGTGATCCTGTCTCCTCTCAGATGCCTATGACATGGCTAAGCTCCTGTGTGACAAGTATTACATGGCTTCCCCTGACCTGGAGATCCAGGAAGTCAATGGTAAGCAAATGAGTGTGTGCGCGCGTGCGTGTGTATGTGTGCGCATGCGTGCATGCCTTTGTGTTCGTGCGTGCGCTAGTGCGTGTGTGCGTGTGTGCGTGTGTGTGTGTGTGTGTGTGTGTGTACACTTGCATGCAGGCCAGAGTAGGGGAGCTGGGGGTCAGACTCCCCTAGAAAAGAGCTCTCTGTGTTATAAATCTGTTGGGTAACTGCTCACTGTTGGCACATGCATCCTGTGAAGAAGACAGGCAAGGGCCCTGTCCTTGCAGAACATACGTTCTTGTGCTAGGGAAGGTTGGGAGCTGTGATAGGTGACCACTGAACACCAGCTAATTTGAAAACTTCATAAGTGACCAGAGGGACAGGATGTGGGGTAACAGGGCCAGGACTGTGGACAGTGATGTCTGACGGGATACCTCCCCAAACCAAGAACCAGCAGCTTCATGGAGAGATGCTTCTGGGTGGTCAGAGCTGGCACCCACTCCCAGGCCTCCCATGCAGCTGGCAGGAAGAAGCAGAGTTGAACTTGGGCCTTCCACGGGTCACTAGCTGTGGCAGCTTGGAAGGGGCACAGCCGCTTAGCCGCCTAGGCTAGGTACAGCTGTGGAGAGAGGGAAGCAGGTCTGCTCTGAAGGAATAAGAGGTGCAGGGTCACGCGGTAGATGAGATTGTGAAAGGTGGCCTTGGTATATGACTCCTGCCCTTGGTCTGGATTCCCACAGCCACCAATGCCACCCAACCCATTCACATGGTCTACGTCCCCTCCCACCTCTACCACATGCTCTTCGAACTCTTCAAGGTAAGAAGGCTGCCCTTCTCAGGGGAGGCTGGGCGGGGTCTGTCCTCGGCCCTCAGCTTCAGCAGCACCTTTGGGGCTGGCTTCTCTCACTTCGTCATCCTTCCTACCCTTCCCAGAATGCCATGCGGGCCACAGTAGAAAGCCACGAGTCCAGCCTCACTCTCCCCCCCATCAAGATTATGGTGGCCCTGGGTGAAGAAGATCTGTCCATCAAAGTATGTGACCCTTGACTGGGCCATGGGAGGTTATGGGGTGGGGTGGGGTGGGTGGGTAGAGCGAGGAGTGGAGCAGATAACCTTGGAGGGTATCTCACGTGCCCCTTGTCTCCCAGATGAGTGACCGAGGCGGGGGTGTCCCCTTGAGGAAGATCGAGAGGCTCTTCAGCTACATGTACTCCACAGCCCCCACACCCCAGCCTGGCACTGGGGGTACCCCGCTGGTGAGAGGCCTTCCTCCAGTCCCCTGGCTCCTACTTTTTAAACTCCCAGTCATACTCCATCTCCTCCCACTCCACCCCGCATGGCTGTGTGACAACAGTCTCCTGTTGTGACTCCAGGGCCCTCCATCTCTGCTGCTTGCTAATAGTCCCCTCCCTGGTGATCATCCACCCGTTTGCTTAGCTGTCACTTCTCTTCGGTCCTCTCTCCTCTCTTTCTCTACAGCATTGCTAACTGCTGTCACCTCTGTCCCTGCTCCTGTGGAACAGGCAGTCTTGGGCTTAGGGAATAGATTCTAAGGGCTTTTAACCACCCAGGCCTCTGGGTAGAACTCTGCCGTCCAGCATCTCTCTCTTTGCCTCCTCTGCAGTTCCCCTGCCTACCACCTTGTCCCGTCTGCTTCAGAAATGCCCCTTCTCCACCCCTCCTCCAGCACTCCTGCCTGTCCCCAGTTCAGCTTCTCTGACTCACTTTATGACCTGTGGCTCCTCTGTAGGCTGGCTTTGGGTATGGACTCCCCATTTCCCGCCTCTACGCCAAGTACTTCCAGGGAGACTTGCAGCTCTTCTCTATGGAGGGCTTTGGGACAGATGCTGTCATCTATCTGAAGGTGAGGCCCACCAGGGGCAAGCTTGCTGCTAGCAGGTTTCTATCCATCCCTCATCCGTCCTGGCTCCAAACTCAGAGCTGAGCCTTGACTCCTCGGGTGCTGTAACTTTAAACTAATATGGTAGGCAACTTTAGGGGGTCCAAGGTCTGTGAGTAAGGCCCCTCTCCTGAGGAACCTTAGGTTGGAAGGAAGGGGACCTTCCAGGTCTTGAACTTCAGTTGATAGGACTGTACCTTGGGGATTAACAGGGATCACACAGCCCAGCCTCCTCCCTCTTGATCCTTTCCCCCTCCTGACCTTTGAGGGAACAGCTTCATGGAATGGGCCAGGGCAAGGCACAGAAGGCTCAGAACCTTTTAGGGTCATTTCCGGGTCTGGGGTAGTGTTTCAGCTAATGTCTGGTTATGGGGCTGACGTAGACCTGGGTTAGGACTCCAGGGACGGAGGCCATCAGGGCCTGGGTGGGAAAGGGCAGTAAGCTGGGCAAGCAGGAGGCTGATGGCAGTGCTCCCTAGGCCCTGTCCACGGACTCAGTGGAACGTCTGCCTGTCTACAACAAGTCTGCCTGGCGCCACTACCAGACTATCCAGGAGGCCGGTGACTGGTGTGTGCCCAGCACAGAGCCCAAGAACACATCGACGTATCGGGTCAGCTAGGGGCCTTCTCTCCCTGGCACCTGGGAGGATGCTGCCACCTCTGAATCCAGCCACCACAGGGATCTTCCTTATCTATCCCCTAGGGTACAGGGGTGAATCTGGGTCTCCCTGATGGCCAGATCTATCTTTGTAGAAATCTCAGAGGTCTAACTGTGGTGGTCCCTAAGTGCCAATATGTCTCTATGGAGAAACCTAGGGAGGTTCCCTGGAGCCTGGTCTTCATGGTGATGCTTGAGAGTTGGGGATGGCTCTACCTGATGGAGTGCCCCAGAGACACTTCTCCCAAGACCAGAGCTGTTCGTTTTCTACCAGAAACCCTGGGTCCCCCTCACTGCCTGCATAGTCCCAGCCTTCCAAGTGGCTGCCCCGCTTCCCTGTACAGGCACATTGGGCTGGGTTCTTTCTCAATATTAAGAAGGATGGAGTGCCCTCAAGTCTGGAGAGAGACTGGAAGAGATAGGGTCCACCCTTGACTCTGATCCTGCAGCCTTTCTCTGTCTCTACTCTGGACACTAAAGTTGCAACTGGGAACTTGTGAGTGGGTAGTGGTTCTTATGTGGGGCCCATGGAGAAGGCCTAGGAATAACCTGCCCCAAGGTGATCTTAGCAATTGTGTATGTTTAGCCGCTTCTTAAATCCTTGCCAGGCGTGTCCTCACATGCATAGCTCCCCCACCCAGTCTGTGCCCACCCTACCCTGCCTGAGCTTCAGACCCCAACCCCCCCATGCCCACTATGTGTGCACAAGTGACTCATCCCTAGGACACCCTGTGTACATAGCCAGTTTTGTAATCTCAGAAGCCTCGCCCCTCCCCTCCGCACACAGGGGTTAAAGCCGCGTGCCCCTCCCAGTGGCTGGGATGGTGACAGTGACATCTACAGTAAATAGATGAAAAGTGTCTGGTGCCTGGCTTCCTTGCTTGGGGAGGGTGAGTCCACACATGCAGCACCTGTGAAGACTGGTCCTCTAGGGATGACTGTACTCAGGACCTGGCCTAGCTGGCAAGCTGAGCATGCCACCGGGCGGGGCCATCCACTCACAAGCCCTGGCAGCCCACTACCCAGTTGTGCTCAAGGCATAGCTGAGTCCCTTGTCGCAGACGGAAGGATCACTGGTGTGTGGTAAGTATTTATTGAAAGAAGGTGATAACCATCCTCCTCCTTCACATGCAGGTGGGCACACTTGGCTCCTCACGGCCTCAGGGACAGTCGAGCCTCCACCCTCCCCACCCAGTCTAGGAAGTGCCAGTGCCCTTATACCTTAGTTTCCCTCCAAGGCCTCCACTCCCAGTGAAGATGACTGAGCCTAAACACAGGGTGCTGGCCTTCAGCCACTTTCACAGGCAGGAGAGAGGGAGTTAGCATGCAGGTCCTGTTCACCCCTCCAGGAAACTGGGAGGGGTGGAGGTTTCTCGTCAGAAACCTGGGCCCAGTAGTAACTGACCAGCACCCAAGAAGCTGGGTCAGCGTGGCACCTGGACCCTCTATCTCTGAATACGTCCTACAAAGGACTTGTGCCAGTCCCACCCAGGGCTGGCCCAGTCCCCATCTGTAGCCTAGCGAACCTAAGCCAGCAGTGTTTGTCCACTCTGGGCTCACTGAGGCCTTGACACACCCAGGGCACCTGGGAAGCTGACGACCCTTTCAATCCAGCAACATGTAGGCCACCTTAGATCGTGCCTCTTCACCACCTAGGCACTAGTGGGGGAATATCCTGTGTCCCCAACAGCTCTCAATTTTTTTTCTGCCCTCAAAGGCTCAAGTACTCACTGAAGAAGTAGATTCTAGCTCTGCAAAAGGGTCAAAGTCCTGACCCAATGGGAGAGGAGCGGACCTGTGCGCTGGAACTTGCAGGGGAGAGAAGGGGAGAGAGAGAGAGAAAGCTTCCTTCCCCCTCTCTGTCCTTACAGAGGCCAGCTTACCCTCCCTGCTCACTCCTCTCTCCTCTGAGGAGGTGTCTAGGAATCCACCCTGAGTGCTACTGGCAGAGCCCACTGGCCTCTCTGGAGAGAGCTGTTCTCCCACTATACAGCCACTTTCAAGAGCTGAGGAGACACAGCTGTCTCCTGTCTCCAGTCCGGTTGCCTAGGCTACTCTCTAAGCCTAGGAATCCTGGCTATGGTAGGGCCTCTCCTGCTAGATCACTTCCTGCTCAGTACCACTCTAGTCAGAGGGCGCAGGTTCAGCCTGAACCAGGCTCCTCTGGGCTCCACATGTTTGCTGAGTTCCTGGCCTCTGCCCTCTTCATCTGCCACCTGCTTCTCCCGGAAGTCTGCGCCAAACAAGTCCTGGAAATTGGGTTTATTACTGAGCCCTCCCCCTGGGGTCTCCCTCTAGAGGTCTCAGTCCAAACAGGGTGAGAGGGGGCCATGTCCTCCAAGAGCCTGGTGCCTAGACCCTGCCTCCCTGATGAGGCCCATGCAGGTGGCTCCAAGTGTGCCGGGGTGCCAGCCCCGCCAGCCAGCCATCCCTAGCTCTTCTTGGCCTCGTGCTCACGGCGCCGAAGCTTCTCCCGCTGCCGTGCGGTCTTCTCCTGCGCCTTCCGTTCCTTCTCAGCAGCCGCTGCCAGCTCCTTCAACTTCCGCTTCACCAGTGCCCGGTCATGCGAATTGCTAAGCCCCAGGCTCTGGGAAGAAATCCAGAATGAAGGAAAGAGGCCCAGAACACTGTCCTGCAGACCTGCTGGAGTCTGCTCTGAAGTATGGCCTTCGCCTAGGGATTGGGCCCCAAGGTAGAAGGACTGGCGTGCAAGTGGTCAGAGGTGACAACTGGCCCTAGGTTATTGGCGACCTTGGTTCCAGATCCTCAACCTAGGATTTCAGCCTTAGCACGACCCTGCTGAGGTCCTCAGAGTGGAGAGTGGCTTGATCAAGGTCATGTGGCTAATTGGTAAGGTCCCTCCCCACTTCAAGATTTCCTATGGATGGGGCACTCCTTCAGTTCCAGGAAACTGCAGATGTTGGAGGCTACCTCTCCGCACTGTCCACTTAGCACACCAGAGCCTGGTGGTAACCAGGATCTGAGAATGAATATGGGAATGGAGCTGGCCAAGAAAGAGGCCTGGCTTCCCACTGGATGGTAGTCCAAAGGTCAAGGTCAGCCTGGGCTGGAGCTAGGTCAGATGGAAGTGGTGGGCTTGAGTTTCAAGTCAGACTGAGGTGTTGTACTACACCGCAAAAGGTACCCTGCATAGAGGTCAGACACCAGGTCAGAGGCTAGACAGGGAGAGGAAATCCCAGGTCAGTCCAGGAGGTAAGTCAGGGTCAAAAGTCAAGACCAAGGGCGGTCCCTAGCCTTGAAGGCTTTCTCAGTCTAGCTGATTATCACCTCTGCACTCTGACCCACCTTCAGTTTGCTTCCGTCCAGCTGCAGGAGCTGCGGCCCATCCACCTGCCGGGCAGCAAACTCAGCAGCATACTGTTCCAGGTTGAGGCTGTGCAGCCACTGGCCCACCTGCTGGCTGGTCCAGTGTTGTACGGCAGGGAGGGACTCATCCAGGAACTGTGGTAGAGATGGGGAGAGTAAAGGGAGCCCAGCCTATGGCTGGGTCCCCTTGGCAGGTACAAAGGCCAGCCCCACTCACCTCATCTGAAGACTGGGACAGCGTGTGGTAGGGATAGGAGCACTTGGTCTCCTGTCGAGGACCACCTGGGATCTTGGGGCTGCTGCTGGGAGGTGTGGAGTCATCGCTCAGGGTAGATTCCTACACAGAAAGGGATGTGTGCCAAGAAGTAAGTTCACCTCCCACTTCCAAGCCCATCACCTGACCAGATGGGGCTGAAATACTACACTAGGTACCAGCAGCTGTTCAATGCTCCAGGACCAGGGACTCAGAACTAGACAAGACACAAGACTGTGATGACTGAAGTGACATATCAGAACCTGAGCCCTCTAGGAGGGAGCTGGCTACGTAGAGGACATGGTCCTAGCATTAAGCAGATGAATTATCAGGAATGGAGGGGGCTAGGTGCTGCTGCCTGTAGGCAGCCTACCAGGATTCCTCCCCCAGGCTGGGTCCTATGTCCCTGTTACATAAAATCCTTCTCCTGGGCTAGAGGATGGCTCACAAGTTAAGAGCACTGGCTGATCTTCCAGAGGTCCTGAGTTCAATTCCCAGCCACCACATGGTGGCTCACAACCATCTGAAATGGGATCTGGTGCCCTCTTCTGGCCTGCAGGCATACATGCAGGCAGAACACTGTATACCTAATAAATAAATAAATCTTTTAAAAAAAAAACCCTTCTCCTAGGCCTCTTGCATCCTGGCTGGTGGGTACACCCATTGGCCTTGGATCTCTGTGAAGACTTGGGCTGTGTCTCACTCAGCATGATGTCCCCTGGGACCAGCACAAAGGGACTGAAGAATTCGAGTGGTTAAAGAATAAAGTTGCACATCAGAAGGGCCTCTCCCCTGAACCCCACGACTTCTGATTCTCCTTAGCCCTAGCACCATACACAGCTGTTCACACCTGTGGGTGAGTCCCTTTTCCCCGAACCTCATTTGCTCATCTGTACAATGCTAATAAGAATGACTGCCTTGCCTACATCACAGTTAAAGCCACACACAATAGTGGGCTTTGTAATGTACAGTGGTCTCTGTGAACATAAGGAGACTTTGGTATTGGTTGTGTTGACGGTTCTTATTTCCTAGGGTCTGGAGCTTTCAGAGGACTAGGTAGGGGTCCTGCTCATCTCCTTATCTCCAGGACTTCCCACCATGCAGATGGCCAGCTCTTGATGGCACAGTCCAGACCTGACTCAGACAGAACAGTAAGAAGCAAGGGTCCCTCAGACTGAGTGAGCAGTGTGGGGCTCAGTGTTCCCGCAGGAAGTATAGGAAGCAGTATGAACGCATGAAATGCGAACAGGTATGAATGCATGAGCCATGAATGAATAAAGCCAGAGAGTAGATGCAAGTCATGCATGCCACCAGGCAGCTCTGTGGAGGGATACTGTGGGTCCCAGAAAAACCTGGGTCCCAGTCCAAGCCACGATAAATATGTCCTTGTTGTGAGTCTAGAAGCCAGTGTAGGTCAAGGACGGTCCTGGGGTTACACTGCAAAGGATGGCATACTCTTGTAGTCCCAGCACTAAGAAGGCTAAGGCAAGAGGATAGGTAGTTCCAGGCTAGCCTGGGCTATAGAGTAAGACTGCCTCAGCAGGGAAAAAAGAAAATGGGAGGGAAGGATGGATGAGAAGTAGGAAGGAGAAAAAGAGGGAATAAAAACCTGGGCTTACCTGGGAAGCTGACTTCTTGGGGCTCAAGCCCTCGTGTTTTGGGGAACAGGTTGGGGAGGTGGTACTCCCCGAGGAAGCAGAACCCTTGCCGCTGTCTGTGAACCAGGAAAAGGGCAGGAATGGGGAGCTCCCTGTCCTTCCAGAGCCTTCTACAGACTCCCTGTGGAGAAAGCATCCAGCATAGTGTGGGTGTCCAGGGGGGGAAGGGAGCTGTGGGTGAGTGCCATGGGTACCTCTCACCTGCTGCCCATGGACAGGCGGTTGCTACCCTTCTCCTTCCGGCTCTTGCCAGTGGACGCTCGGCGGAGAGTGACCCTGTAAGGAGGTGGGGGAGTAAGTAGGGCATACCTGCCCACCATGATGCCCTGACCCCATCAGTTTCAAGGACACTTGCAATACCTGGCCTCACTCACCCCAGGTCCAGGAATTTCCTGCGAGTCTTCTTATCCAAGCCAATGGTGGGGCTGGCAGGCTCAGGGGGGCTGGCATCCCGGCTGTCATCTTTAGAAAGAGAAGGGGAGGAAAACAGCTAACTCAATGGCCTTCTGCTGCTGCCCGTGTTGGGTGGTAGACATCTTATCTTAGAATTAGTCCATTTTGCTCTAGGCTCTTTGGTCCTTCATTAGCTGTGTGACCCAGGATAAGACACTGTCTGTGTGTCTTATTTCAAGCAGAGATGCGCCAATTTTACAGTATCTAATGGGAGCCTAGGCTTTTGCCTTTTACAAACTGTAACAGTACTTTACATCTGAAAAGGCAGGACTTTTTGTTTTCGTGTTGTTGTTTTGAGATGGGGTTTTCTCTGTGTTGCTTTAGTTGTCCTGGAGCTCACTCTGTAGACCAGACTGTCCTCAAACTCAGAGAAATTCACCTGCCTCTTGCCTCCTAAGTACTGGGATTAAAGATGTGTACCACCACCACCTAGCAAAGGTAGAGCTATTAATATTAATTAGTTATTTTTTGAGACAGGGTTTCAATGAAATCCAAGGTGTCCTGGAGCTCCCTATGTGGCCTTGGGCTTCTGATTCTCTTGTCTTCACCTCCTGAGTACTGGAAATCCAGGGTACATGACCATATTCTGTAATGCTTTCCGAATGCCAGGCATACTACTGACTTTATCTTGGCCGTTTTCTAACCAGCCTTTCAATCTCAGCTCAAATGTTACCTCCTCAGGGAAGCGTTTCCAGTCAGGTGAGGACACTTATCAACTGTGCATATTTCCTGCATAGCTTTTATTACAGCTTGTACCTATACGTTAATTACGGGGTGGTTTGGTTGTTTCTTTCCTAAGCTACACGTCCCCAGAGGCAAGGGCTGTCTCTATGCTCTGTTTGGATCCAGCGATGTCTGACATATAGTAAGCTTCTGTAAATGAAGAAGGGAACCTAATGGCCAGCCTTCCATCTCCCCTGCAGCCACCCAACCGCCTGGCCTGGCTGCGGTTCCGATGATCGTCGGCAGGGGGCACCGCGCCTACAGAGCTCACCTTCGCTGTGCGGCTCTGCTCGAGGGTAGCGACGCACGAAGCTGGGGGAGCTGTCGGAGGAGGGTGCAGAGCGCGGTGGCGAGCCAGAGGTGGCGGCCAGACCCTCATGCGAGGCGGCGTTGTGCAGGGGCCGGTATCGAGTGAGTGGCGAGGGTGGCGGCTCGTCCTCATCCAGACTGCGCCTCAAGCCCGGGGGCTCCAGGCAGAAAGAGCCAACGGCTGGGGAGCCTGGACCCGAGTGCAGAGGCGAGCGCAGCCGGTGCAGTGGGCTTCCGCAGCCGTCGGTCACCTGGAAGAGGGGCAGCGGTTCAGCGTCCCCCCTTACTTCCCAGAGAATGGAGGCCAGTTTCCCCGTCGGCTGTACGGGAGCACCAAGGAAGCTGTTTCCTGGGGGTCAGGAGAGCAGGTTTCCTCGGACCCGGGGCTGGAGAGATGGATGATCACATGAAGTGAAGACATCCTGCTTCATCTGCACATCCCACAGTTAATGGGACTTCCCGAACCCTTCTGGTTTCAGCTTCATCTGTAAGATGGGCTAACACCTTTTCCTGTACAGAGAGGTACAGGAGCCAGAAGTGAACTGCTAACTGACCTTTGGGAGCATGACTGTCAGATCTCCAGGGGCACACTTCCCTGGAAGCGTGAGGGAGGGAGTATGATCCAGGGGTAGGATGTGGGTGTGTGTATGTTATCCCAACCTTGCCTCCGGGCCCATCAGAGCCTTCACCGTCCTCAGCAGAGCTGGCACTGTCACGTAGCCTGGAGCGGGAAGGCCGGTGTCTCCGGCCCTTGGCCAGCAGCTGAGCCCTGGCTTTGTGTAAGCTGCTGTCCAGTCTGGTGGTCTCTGGTACAGCCAAATCCAGGTCTGCAAATGGAGACCAGAGCCACCTCAGATGGGCCACCCTGACTCAACATCCCAGACATTTAATTGGTGCTTGGGAGTACCTCCCACTGTGCCTGTAGGTTGAAATTCAGCTCTACCACAGTTGGGCTGGGCTTCTAACCCCACCTGCTAGCACCAGCACACAGAACAACATGCCCCGTCCTCCTGTGGGCATGGCTGGTTTATGTGCAGACACTCACAGAAACAGGGGTGAGAGGAGGCACACCCACCTGGATCCTAAAGTTTAAGAGTTAGCAAGTGTTGGGATGGGTGGGAAGTAGGAAAGAGATGGAACCTCTGGGTGGCAGGAAGTAGCTCTGTGGGAATAAGTTCTGAGAGAAAAGTAGTGGAGACCGGGGGGATGAAGAGGCATCTGCCATGTACCCAATGCTATTCACCTCACTATCCTCCTTAGAGCTACCTGGGTTGGGGGTAGGGGTCACAGCATCTGGACAGGGGCGGTTACAGCATCTGGGAGAGGGGGTTATAACACCTGGGCCATATTTACAGCTGAGCCAACTAGGATAAAAGAAGGCAAGTCAGGATTGGAGCCACTGACTAGTAACATTGTGGCAACTGGAGTGTGGCTCTAGGGACAGGCTCTCCTGGTGACACTGTCAAGGCTGTATTTAAGGATAGCGGTGTTATTCATGACCATACACCAGTGTCAGACTCAGGAGCAAAGTTCCCCTGCAGCTTGTTTCTTGGGCCCTGGGCTCTGCAGCCCAGTGCCAGGTCCTGCTAGGACTGAGAGGAAGAGTAGGCACCCTGCTGGGTGTGAGGAAAGCACTCGCTTCTGTCCACTTGCCTAGTAAGGCAGCATCAGTCTTGGTCTGGCCCTGACATCAGTACTGGGGTCTCCCCAGGCTTCAGGATGGGTTAAGATGTTCCTGTTTGTCCCTCTCAATACTTCTGGAACCCCACTCCATCCTTCACACCCTCTGTCCTGCCTGCTCCTCTCTCATCTGGAGACATCCCAAAGGGACCCCTACTCAATGGCCACTTTATCTATTCCCAGCCAAGAGTCCTTCACTAAATGTCAAGTCTAAGCACAGGAGCACCTGCCAGGAAACCCACAAACCAGAGCCCCCTAGTGCCTCAGCCAAACACCACCCATCAGAGCCCTATATGCTGGTGCATGCCTTTAATCCCAGCAAGACAGAAGCAGGTAGATCTCTGAGTTCAAATTCAGCCTGCTCTACAGAGCAAGTTCTAGGACAGCCAGGACACACACACACACACACACACTCTCTCTCTCTCTCTGTCTCTCTCTCTCTCTCTCTCTCTCTCTCTCTCTCTCTCTCTCTCTCTCTCTCTCCCCCTC